CAGCAGCAGCAGCAAGAGCAGTAGCAGCAGCAACAGCAGCAGCAGCAACTGCTGCTGCTGCTGCACCTGTTGGACCGCTGGCAGCTGCAGCAGCTTTTGCTTCGCCAAGTCTTGAGGTGCCGCCAACGATGGTCCCATTAATGCTGCAGGCGCAGCAGCAGCAGCAAAAGAACCAGCAGCAGCAGCAAATCCAGCACCTGCATGCTCAGGAAAAGAGGGAGCATCAGGGGCAGCAGCAAGACTACCACCAGCAGCAGCAAGAATACCAGCAGGAGCTGCGCGAGCAGCAGCAGCAGCAGCTGCAGCAGCAACAACAGCAACAGCAGCAACAGCAGAAGCAGCAGCAGCAGCAACACAGGGCAGAGATGTCGCCGCGCACCTCCCAAGCTTTGGCTGAACGTCCTGAGAGCAAGGGGGTCCTAGAAGGACCCACACAGCCTAAGGAGCAGCAGCAGCAGCAACTGCAGCAGCAGCAGCAGCTTCAGCCCGAGCAGCAGAAGCTGGAGCAGCAGCAAGAGCAGCATGAGGGAGATGAGGAACAGCAGGAACGCCCTCAAAAATGGCAGCAGCAGCCTCAAGAGCAGCAGCAGCTGCAGCTGCAGCTGTACAAAGAGCAGCAGGATCCGAAGGACGCTTGCATGCAGCAGCTGCAGGTGTTTAAGCAGCAGCCGGATCAGCCCGAAGTGCAGCAGCAGCAGCAGCAGCAGCAGCAAGGCGAGGAGCAGCAGCAAGGAGAGAAGCGGCAGGCGGGCGTGGGGGAAAGCACACATAGCGGCGGCGCCATTGCTGAGGTTACAGTAGAGCTTGCTGCTGCCCCTGCTGCTGCTGCCTGTGCTGCTGCAGCCTCTGCTGCTGCAGCCCGTGCTGCTGCAGCCTCTGCTGCTGCTGCCTCTGCTGCAGTTCCGCCCACTGTCGCTGCGATTGGCTCAGCTCCATCGTCAGATGCTGCTGCTGCTGCTGCTGCTGCAACTTCGACTCCAGCAGCAGCAGCAGCGGAACAAGCAGCAGCAGCCTCTGCTGCTGTTTCAGCCCATGGTGCTGCTGCGGCTGTA